AATGTGATAGTTTTGGACTACGGTTTAATTCAGAAAGCAGCGAAAATTTTTCCGAAATATATTGAAAAATTTATAGTGACGGTAAAATGTGCCATTAGTAGCAAGACAGAATAGATTTTAGGTTGACAACAATCGAGTTTCGTTGAAAAAGAATAGAGTTCTTCACGTAAAGTAACCAAAAAATGTTGTAATAAAATGATTTTTTTTCATTCTTTGGACTGCAGTTTTGAAAATATAAATGTTATTTGCTGGATTTTATTGAACGAAACATGTTCGAAAATTGCGCCCCTTAGACTAGATAGCAGCACCTTTTGGCTAGCATGATTAATGCGCCGTCTGTTATCGCTGAGAAGAAGACATATCGATTGTTCTTATTGATCAATSGATCACGCCACTTAACGTGTCAATAAGTCATTGGTCCCCTGTGACGTCATCTTCTGCGTGCTACTTTCCTATTGATTGTTTGTCCTCTCTTCCTTGCGAAGAACTCGCTTATTGGTCTATTGTCTTTTTTTCACTTCCGCTCTGTTCCTCTAATCGAACCGAAAAGTGGCGTGGTCCGACAAAATCTCTTACGAAGTGAAACAGTGCGGACGCATCTTTAACAATTCCTGAAAATATATGAATCATCTCATAGTCTCTTATCTCGGTTTTTCCTCAACTAGACCATCTCCATATTCTTTCTCTCACCGTTCCATCTCATCTCTTATCACGCTTTTCCTCATGTAGTCCATCTCTTTTTACTCTCTCTCACTAACGGCCTCTCGTGCTTCGTACATCCGGTACACGTGGCGTGATATCCGGTACACGTGGCGTCGCTTATCTATTACTGCTTGAATAAAATCTATTATACTTTCGCTATCTCTATTTCTTTCTGTTAGAATTTGGTAATTAAATCTTGTAACACATAATTCTACCAGTAAATTCTTCATCTATACAGTCCACTAGCCTATCTCGCCTATCTCCTTGTCTTTTCTTAGTGCATCTCATTCAAATCTATCAATTTCTTTCTATCTTCGAACATTTTTTGGTCCTTCGAGCCGGATCCTAGAGGTTTTTTGTGTAAGTGTAACAAGATTTAAAGTTTGTGAAAAGTGTCGTGTACACCCCTGTCGCATTGCTGAGCACCCTGGACGTTGTGCTGCGACAGGAAAATCAGTTCAAGGGACCGTGAGCGCAGTTTGAACTTCAGTGTGTATCTCATCCCATAATTCAGACATATCGTTATATAATAGGCTTCTCAAAGACGAGGGTGATAATGCCGCGTCGAGTGCTCGTTTGGTTCTTACGTCTCTAGTTCACTAGGGAAAATCTAGGTGGCGCGGGAATCTGGCACTCTGGAATTATCGCCATCTCCCCACCCACGGAGAGTGTAGCGTGTGCCTCGTCATCTCAGGAAGTAGTGGGGGTGGCCCCACTACTACACTACAGTCTCGCCTAGTCACCGCAATCCTGCCTCAAGATGGCAGCGAAACTAGCGCTGCAAGAGGCGCGGGCTACCACTATCTCGAATCTAACTGCCAATGCAAAAAACTTTCACGCTATGGACCTCTCAACCGCTGTCGACACAAGGGAGTTGCTTCGATCAGCATGGTCAAAGTTTGATACCGAACACGACCGCATCGTATCGTCATCTCGCGAAACAGCAATGGAACAGTCGTATTTTAAGGAAAACCGGTACGATGCGACCTTGCGGGCATATCTAGGCGGAGTAACGCTGTTAAACTTGCGGATAGAAGAACTCTCCCAGCAAGTACCGCCTGTCAAATCTCAAAGAGCATCTCGTTTCAGGACGGTACTTCCCAACATCTCATTACCGAAGTTTTCCGGTGCCTTCTCAGAGTAGAGACCCTTTGAGGAACTATTTTCTTTAATGATAAAACACAACTCAGACCTCTCACAAGTGGAGAAGTTACACTATCTCAGAACCAGCCTGGAGGGAGAAGCGGCTAAAGTCATCTCAGATCTGAAATTATCCGCTGATTCTTTTACGATAGCATGGAATAGATTGTCAGACAGATTCGACAACAAACGCCTACTAATCCTGGCTCATCTCGATAGGCTG